CCATGCTGAGCAGATTTATATCTGAACAGTCTGTTCAGGTTTGATGGTACAATCTCCATTAAGTTAAAAAAAAAAAAAAATTAGAAAGGGAAAATTCACCCAAACATCTGCTGTATTCTGAGGAAAGGTAGGAGCTGACTCTGATGTCAGTACTGGTTCAGGACAAGATGGTGGTGGCGGGGAAGGTGTTTGCGAAGGCTAACTTTAGCTCAGTCCATCTAATCTCCCAGGCTAAATTAGGTTTGTACTGAGGCTTGCCCTCAAGAGGATCCCATCTTCCCACTGCTGCCGCGGAGACCCTGCAGAGATGAGGCTCGTGAACAGCAGTTACCCTTTGTGGAGGCATCTGCCAGCACTTGCATGGATTTCCACAGAGAGCCGAGGTACGGGAGAACAACAAAGTCACATTTTGATCTCTGTGGCATCTTCCGAGTCTTAATGCCAGTGAAGAGGCAAAGGCCTTTAGACCACAGTTTCACAAAAGCTTCAAGTCAGCTTCAGGCAGCACTGCAGCTCAGCTCTCACTTCCTGCGCCCCACACCCCCCCATTTATCCCCACGGCTGCACACCCCCATCCCCACACTGACGCAGGTGCCCGGGCTGCTGCCCACTGAGCCGATGCAGGTTAAAACCAGCCTCGGCACGGAGGGAGTCGCAACCTGGATTAATTCTGCTGCAGTACATGCTACCACGTCGCTGTCTTAATAAAAAAAAAAAGAGAAAAATAAAGCAAAAAGGAAAGACAGACTGGTGTGGGAGCGGGGATGAGCAGCTAGGAGTGGGTGGCTGGGATGGGCTTCAGCAGCAGAGCCAGCTTAAAGTGTTTACAAAGCTACAGCCTTTGTTTCTTCAGTGTCTTGCAGAACCACATTTTCCTCCTCCTGTTTGTATATGCCAAGCTCTCTCCTATATTCCCAACCCAGCTGCGCACAGATTTACGTCTGGAGGCCAGAACAAGCTTGTTAGAGGTAGCTGTAGCGGTTTGGAAAAGGCAAGGACTTGCGAGAGTCTCTTAAAAGTCCTTAGGATCAGCAGTAAAGTTTACTGTAGTTGACTGAGGATTAATATTTTAGTGCATTATTCAATTCCAGGACTAGAATTCTGCCTTTTTCTGGGTTTCAGGGATCCCTCTGGGTTAAGCTGCTGTCTCATAACATTTTCTATGTTAGAGCCTCAAATACTTACTGAAAAATGTCTTTTAATTTTGCCTTTTCCTCAGCAAAGATCTCCAAGTTTGCTAAAATATTAAACTATGATTTTAATATCCTAAAGGGACAAAGATATCTCGAATGCTCACTGCTTTTATGACTGAAATTCAAAGCTCAACACGTACTGAACAGGCTGTCAGAGGAGACAAAGCATCCTGCCTCTTCAGCTGCATCCTTCTCCTGGAAAGTTTTATTTTGCTGTACAATTTTAATTATCCCCTTTGCAGCTACAATAAGGAGGAGTAAATAGAGGAGCAACAGAGAGCTAATGAATAAAAATCAAATTAAGGATTTGAATTTTCTGTGAGAAGGGCCTGAGGAAATACTTGGATGCCTTCACTGAATATTATGGGTTTCCATGATAAACACTGACAGAGACTATGCTTTAGTATTTCGCTGGCTTTCTACTCCTTGTCTTCCCACTCTAGTTCAATAGGTGTGGAATTTTGTAAGAAAGTGGACAGTGGTTAAGTGGAAATACATTGAAAATTCAATGTTGAGACTAGGATTAATGAATGCATAAAGCATCAGTCCTAATCTCAACTAGGATTGATGCTGCAACGTCTGGAATTCTTGCTAAGACCCAGTTTACAAGGTATTTATTCTACTGAAAGAAAAAAAGACAAAACACAAAACCAACTCCAAACCACTGGTATATTAAGGAATACACAGAGAATAAAAAAATATGACACATGCATACTCTGAAAGCATCTAAAGCAGAGTTAATGTGATACTTACGTACCTTCTGATTTTCTGCTTGCTACCTTTTTTCCTTTTTCAGATTAAAAAAAAACCCAAACAAGCCCAAAGAAAGGCAGTCCTAATTGCTGCGGCCTTTTCCTTTCTAAAGGCTTTGATAGTTCTAAGGGCTCCTTAGTTCTAACAGTGTCTTAAAAAAACCCACAAAAACCAAAACCAAACCAAACCAAACCTAACAAAAAAACCCCCGCCAAAATAAAAGAAAATAAAAGGAACTTGAGTGTTCAGAACCACTCTAGTTCAGAGGTGATCAAACACGAAATAAACGTTTTGGTATCATGCATAGATTTGGCTGCATAAAGAGACAGTCCCCACTGATAAAAAAAGCTATTAAACAAAACGCAATACCAAGTTGTGTTGATGAAGTTTTCAGTATTATGTGAGGATCCTCCAGCTTTTCCATGGTAGTGGAAGGCTCTGACTGTATTTCTGGAAAAATTGTTTTTCTAAGACAGACAGATACTTCAGTTTGCAGTAGAAAGAAGAAAGGGGCACTGCACAGTTTTACACTACGATATGACTCTAAGCTCAGTCTCCAATTCCCAAACGCCTCTGAAGAAATGGATCCTGCCATCTGAAATGGAAACCTAGACAACAAAAGTTTGGTTTCATTTCTCAATAGAATTCTCTCACTACTTTTCCTCTTCTGTTCATTGTCATAAAATTCAGAGTTTCTTTCTGAGCCTGTTCTATCTTCTTACCTCTGCTGTTCTTGGTAAGCGTGCAAGTCAACTAAAGCACAAATCCCTTCTTTAGCAACTAACCTTTTCTTCACAAAAAACAGGTTTATGAACAATCTCAGAAAACCCTTATAGCATAATACAGTGAGAAAAATCCAACTTCATCAGTGTTACTTGGTGTAAATTTAACCAGAAGAGAGGGCAGTGAGAAGAAACCCTGAATTAGCTCTGTCCTTGTCTTTAAGACAGTATGCTTGTCAGCTTGTCAAGCATGGTAGCAATACTACTGTTGTCATAAACATCAAGAGTTAACAGAAGTTTTAAAAAATATGCCTTTTATTTTTGTAAATGATACGTTACTCTGAAAAGCAATAAATAAGGATGTTTTTAAAATTCCTTCTTGCTTTTTTTGTAAATAAAAACGTTTCCCTCCTGACTAGAAAACCTATCACAAACCCAGCTTGAAATGCTTAAGGATTGTTTTTACCCACCAATTACAGAAATTCTACATGTCAAATGAGGTCTTAACTATGTGTCCCCATCGTCTTTAAATTGCACTCTCAGATAATCCAGCATCACAGACAATAATTACGCATGTATTTAGTCTCCTACAAACTCTTCTGTGTAGATTCCAATTTCCTCCACACCAGTTCATTCAGAAACAATACCAATTAACTCAGTAGAATCCCATAAATTATAATAGCTACATAAATTATTATGGCTACAGGATTAAAATTAGGACTTGCCATCTTTAAAGTCTGCCTTTCCTAGTATCTGCTCAACATGTTCTTTTCACTGAATCTGCAAGAACTGTAAGCAATTTGGTAACAAAATGGAACCAGAATACAACTTGCTCTCTACGAGCTACTTAGCGTAGGAAAAGTCTAACAGTTTTGTAGGCACAAGTCTTTTGGGATTATTCACTTGTGTATAAAGAAAGCAGCTCGACTTTCTTTTTTTTAAAGATTGATTTAGAGCCTTTCCCAAGGAATGTGAGCAACCCCTCCCCAGCCCTTGCCCCCCCAAATCACACTCTTACACGAGAGAAAGGCCAGATGTATGGGTGTGGGGGCAACCGTTTGAATCATTGCAACTATACTAGTTGAAACCTACATCCTAATTCACACTGAAGAACCTTCACAGATGAGGCTACTGAGTTGTGCCTACACCAATGCCCATAGTAAAGAAGAGCATATACTTATTTATGGATTACAGATTGGGTTCTCTGCGACCACAAAATAAATGCCTCCTCAGCAACAACTTTGGGTTCCTAAACTGTAACAAACTGGCACTTCTGCAGCAGATGCTAATAAAAATATACATAAAATTTCTTTCAGTCATTTATTCTAATTGATTTAAAACCTTACGTGTCTTCTGCCAAGTGTAAAAACATTTGCAAGTCATACATATACAAGTGACCCAACAATTCTAAATACATAGTCCACGGTACAATAAAATGAAATCAGCACATAGCAGGGATTATCCGTTTTATTTTCTTTAGAAATGGATCAATGAAATCACTGTGCTCCAGTCACACACTAAAAAAAATGTAACAGGACTTTTACACCAGGTAGTCTTCCCCTTAACAAAGTTGTACATTGCTTAAAATAATGCAGATTGGATCTAATAATAGAAACATGAATCCAGTGCCACCCCAGAGCTACACTGATAGCAAGTACATTCACAAACCAACCCTCCCCCCCAATTCTTCAAAACACCTGCAGAGTCCCATTTCTACAGCTAGCTAAAAATATTCTTGTTAAAATAGAAAAAGATTTTTTTCTACAAAAGTTTGGGGGAAAGTCATGACATTTCATCTAAATTGCTTTGCAGACAACTAAGTACGATGATAAATCACTCTTCCCGAGACTTTCCCTTCAGATTTCACCCAGATTTTCACGTTCCTAAAAATAGTCCAACATTGCCACCATGTGGTCAGAAATGGGCAGGGCACGTTCATCGTGACAGCTGCCTATGACGTCTCTCTGAGAAAATCCATGACAAATACCTAGTCAATGAATAACCACACTGCAAGTAAAAAAGAAAACTGAATTCTGAGAACTGAGTCTTTATGCAGGGAAACCAATTCTAAGTATGGACCAATATAAGAAAAACAATTTAAGATATTTTATGATTAAGTCTTCATTATTGTGACACTCCCTTCCCTAAAGGCACAACCCATTTCCGCTCACTTCTGCCTCAGTACAGCACGTACATGCCCACAAGCAAAATCTATGTGTATGCAAAATGCCTAAGACCATTCATTTCTTTAAATGTAAACGTACTTGAAAAATCTGAAACCTTTTTCCCCAGAGTTCAGGAAGCAATACAAATTGAATTTTAAAATCATCTTTCACATAGACTTTTTCATTGCTGCCTTTCTCACACTGAAGAGATATGCTTCATAAATAATATTTAAGAAGTTGTCATCGTTCTGAAAAACAAAACAGGTAATTGTTAGTGCACCATAGGTGTTCTTGAGTAAAGAGATTAGACTTTTTTTTCCAGTTATGGATGAAATACTTTTCAACCTTATTCTATTTTAAGGGAAGGCTATTTACCAAAAAAATATGTATTATTTCCAAGCCTTGCTAATAGCCTTACAAGCACTGGATGAGAATATAAACTTTATTGCAGCAAACATGACTGTATCTCTATAAGAAGTAACGAGTACCCAGAAAGACGATTTTCCAAACTCACACCGGATTTAACTTGATTCCACTATTCTTGCATGATATTGCAGTGACCACACAATCCTGTAATTCATTCCCTCTGCCCTCATTGACCTGGGATTTCCTTAAGTAGTCTCCTCCATTAGGTCAGTGATAATTCTAAGCATGTCTGAAGGAACAGTGAAACACCCTGGGTTTTGATCCTATCGTTTTGCAAGAACAGGTCAACCCACGTTAAGAATGATGTCCTGATTAGTTCACATGAATTTAAGAAGATAATTAAAATTAAGATACTATTTGAGGAAAATCATGAGCATTTGAGATGGTAGTTTTATACAACTGAAAATAACGGGTAAGAAATTGGCAGTAATTTCCAGGTAACTCAGTTTATTCTACCTACCACCAAGAACAGCAGGGTCAAATACAAAAGTACAGTTTCAGAGGGTAAAATCCATTTTTTCTTGACTAGTTTCCTTTTTAACTTCATATATGGTTTTCCTACTATCCAGACACTCAAAGTATGTAAAGACAGGATAATATTATATTTTTATTTTTTAATGCCAAACTAAAAATACAGGGAAAAATGAGAAAAGCTTCTAATTTGTTAAAGATACAATTTTCTTTCTGGGACTATAATTTAAATCACATTTTACGTGAGTAACTTCAACATTCCAATAGCAACTTTTATTTTTATTCCAAAGCCATACAGGCACATAGTTTTGGCCTACAAATTGGACCCTTAAACCGTGTCTCTATTCCTTATGCTTTATAACCAGCTCGAGTTATAAAACCTCTCCTCAATCTCTACTCTTCAGATATTCATCACATGGCAAGTTAAGGAAAAAAATATTCATAATCACTCACATTATCCCAGTGCAGCAGACAATCATCTCATACATAATGTTTTTAATGCTTTGTCACATTTAAACCTGCATAACTGCAGCTTGAGGAATTTTAGCATTTGAACTAAAGAATTACATTGAATAGAATGAACTAGTGTATTTTTAGGTTATCTAACCTGTATTTTGAAGTTGCTCACACTCATCCTGCAATTTTAATTTTCCATTTGAATTCCTCTTACTGCTAACATGCATCTCTGAAATATTTGGCAGCTAGGATAATCACCCATTATTTATCCTTAGCTAAAAATATAATAGATATCTCTCTGGCTCATAGGCCGACCTTATGAAGCTTTCAGTCACCTTTGTTCTTTTCTGTCAAATTTATTCTCTTTCCTGAACCCCAAACCAGATGCATTAATCAAAATGCATCAAAATCAGTTAAGCCAGCAGTGTGTAAGGAGAGGCTATCACATCCATAGTCTACGCCATAGTGCTCCATTAACATGCAGCCATAAATAGCACAACATATATTCTAATTACTCATTTAGTCTCTAGTCAGATGGATGCAACGGATTATAGGGTGCTTATTATCAAAATGGGAATCAGAATTTTAAGCAAAGTAGGAGAATTCTTGGTGCTTTACCTGGATCAGGTGTAAAAGTGTTTCCTGCAGCTGCATCTTCGTCATTGAGCTGCTCTTGACCACAGATGGCTCTGGAGTTTGCAGTGGCAGGAGAAGGCCAGCTGAGCTAGCAGCAGGTTCTTGGTTTGCCGCTGCTAACCGCCCACTTTCATTTGCTTTTGGTGGAGCAGGTGTGGACTGAGTGAACACCATTGGGGACATCAACAAGGTAGGAGTCACAGTGGCAGGGGGGGGGGGAATGCGTTGAGGTGAGATTACCTGTTCATATAAAAAAGAAGTCATCAATAAAACCTATCTACTTAATCTTATGGGAATAAAGATGATGAAAACTGCAAACTGATTGGCAACAGGTACAGAGACTGCTGGAGATCGATAGTCATGTGAGACTCCAGCTCAGGACCATCCTTATGATCTATTTCCAGATTAAAAGGTCTTCCATCCAATTTGAGACTGCAGCAATGGATTCAACTGTGATTACATCTATCTGATAGGCAAATGATCTTAGGACAAAAGCATTTATTACAGAAATCAGACTACTATTAAATATCAGCACTCTTGAAGAATGCAGCTGTAAAGTCTTCTACATAGGGACTGTAAATCATTAAGTTTAATCTTTGAGAACGTACTTACATGCAGATATGACTATTAAAGACTAACCTTTGTACCTAATACTAGAAAGTATATTCCAATTATAACTTTCAAATTCCTTTATAAGTATATATATGCATATTTTTTTTTCTTCTCATTTTACTTAAGGAGAGGGGAGAAAAAACAGAGATTAAGTGATTTATCTAAAGAGCCACAGTGAGCTGGTGGCACTGTGAGAAACAGAACCAACTCTTAACCAACATGGAGTTGACAGAATCAAAAAGGCCCTCTAAGAGATAGAAAACCTTGATGCTGCAGTAGTTCTACAAGTTCCCTCAGTATCATATCCATGCCCACGTGCAAATACTATGGGCCAAAGAATTTTTACTTTTAAATTTTGCTGTGCATCTTGGAGCTGTAAAACATGCAGGACTAGCAAATACTATCAGATACAACATACAACATAATGGAAAGTTTATTCTCTCAGTTTGTAGATATTTGAGCTCCCTCCCGGTAATTCTAGTAATAAATCTTAATCAGCCATCTCCTCACTATTCAAGCATATGATTTTTTTTTCAAAGAACAGAACATACAAAGGAATTGATACGAGCTTACCAAAGCTCCTCTCTGTTCGACTGGAGCATGATTTATTGTATGAAATATGAAGGTGAAAGGCTACTGAATCACTTCACTCTGTGTCCTGGGTTACATTTAAGTTTTGAAGAAAAATTAAAATTAAGAAAATAAAACTGAGGTTTACCTCCTAGGTATGCAAAACCACATAGTTTAGTATTAAACAACATTCCTATTTCTGTAGCTTGTCTTACTCCTAATCACGATTGTTCTACCCAAGACATTTCTGAACAATGTTAGTTAGACTACAATACAAAGAGAAATAGAAAGAAACGAGGAGGATTGAGATCTCACACTGTTTTATGAAAAATTTAAGGAAGCAGAAAGACTAGGTCTCAGGAAAGACTCATAGATATTAGAAAGCATACAATATGCACGTAATGCAAAAATCTCCCAGTTCACATTTTAGGTAAACATTGTTTCTGTTTCTCAAATATAGCGTACTACTTAAAACCAAAACTCTTGACTTACAGCTTTCTTCCTACCCCATGGCATGTAATCGTTAAGAGCAATCATCAGCTCTGTGTAACAAGCTCCTGAATGAGTTAAGGTATTCCTAACTCATTGTAGGTTTGCTTCAAACAGCAAGTTGGTGCGTATTTTTGTGCACGTATGCTTGAAAAACAACGTTCATTTTAGAAGAAAACCAATGTTAAGACCAAAGTGATATCCCTCTGTGGAGCGAGACCTTCAGACTCTGCACAGATGTTCTCCTGAGAGAAGGTTGTTCTCCTGCCTGTGGAAGATTTGACTACCTCCAGACACTTACCAGAATGCTTCTGCTCTACTCATCCATGCAGCTGAAGCAACTTCTCTTTAATTTACCTCAAGCAAAATTGGCACGGTTTGCTTAAACCAGATGACTCTTCCTACTATGATTTAAACAATGCATATACAAACTGCTCTCCAAGGGTAGGAATCTCCAGAAAAGGGATGGTGCTGAGCAGCTGGAGGAGATAGACTGTCCCACTCATATAGTTGAATCTACGACAGCCTATGTCAAAGACCTAGATGACACGTTCTTTGAAACCCAAAGACATTTCTCTCTAGAGTCCAAGGCAAATAAACAAAACCTGAGGTAAACTATGCTCTTACTCAAATACAGCTACTACTGTCAAACATGTATAAAGTTGTGGTTTAAAAAGCATATGAAAAATTATTTGTTTTCCCCGAATAGAAACAGCTTTTTCTTAGGACTTGCCAAGCATATGGAAGCTATATGGAATAAGCAATATTGCCATCTACTGGTGACACAGCTAATATCTACAGGTTACTGAGAAACTTAAATTTGTGTCAGAAGAAAAACAGAAAATATAGGTACCATTTTTTCAGTGCATAGCATTTGTTTCTGTATGCAAACATTAAAATGTATTTTCTTCTAACAGTTCATGCTCAAAGCTTCTGTCATTTAACAAACTTTTATATAAGTACCATGTTTTTTTTAAAACATAAAGGCAAATTTTCATTTTGGATTTAGTTCAGATCACCTTCAGTCACTAGGACAACTGACATCCATCAGAAAATGGGATGCTAATCTTGGCATTACTAGCCAAGTAATTCCTCTAGCACTGTGCTTTTGCTGAAAGCACTGAAAATGCTCTATAGAGCCACAATAGCCTTTGGGCCAATCTTTTCGCTTTGAGTAATTTCTCACATGACATAACGGCCCTTCCAAAATGCTGTTGATCAACTTCTTTCCCACAGAATCTAACCCGAGTTGCTTGTTCATCCAGCCTCTACTGAATTATCTCCAACTTTATCAGGTCCATACTTAAATCTCTGAGTCACTAATAACAGAGCAGGAGTCTACCATCAGTTGTGCAACGATGAAGTAAGAACGACGAAAAATGTGCAAAATAATCGTCGCAGCACATAGTATTCCCTCTCTGAAGCACAAATGCTGAGATATCTGTTTGATATTCTGTGTGGCTGCTCGCAGCCAAATGACACGATAGCTGGCAAATTCACATAACACCATGAACTAAGGAATGCATTGGATCTCCTGTAATGCAAACTGGAACCCTCTGTTGCTTCCTATGTGTGCAGGATCCCATGTGCATCACGTACTTCGCTGGAATATCAGCACCCAGTGGATGCTGTGGGCCTCTCTTTTTAGTGGCATTACTTAAAACTGAGAATATTAAAGTTCCTGAACCATTTTTACATTAAAAGTGAGCTACTATTAAAAGAAAGCTGGCTACAATGCTAACATTACTTTGCCTTTCCAGTTTAATTAGGAATTTTTAAATTTATGTTTAACTACAGAATCTTAAGGTACTTTTCAAAACAAAAGTTTAATGTACCTATTGCATTCCTCCTGTGCATGTTTACATGCTGAAACTGCAGTCAGGACAATTGAGAGGTAACGGTGCAATGCTCACACCAAAGGTATTAGGTACCACGCACATATTCAGAAGATGTAACACTATGTCCAAAATATATTCTTGATGGAAAATGCTCCAAGAAATGAGAAAAATGGGCTGCAAGATAAGTGGCCTTCTGAAGAAAAGATAAATTTTTCTGAAGAAAAGATAAATTTGTGTCAAGGTTATTGTAAGCACTTTTAAAACCATAATTCAGATTAACATAAACACTTAAGCATGCATGTATTGGATAACTCATGCCTAACACTAAGCATATGCTTAAAAGCCCACTGCAGATTAATGCTTTATTATAGCATCTCAAGCACACGTTAGTCACTGTCCACATAAGGAATACTTCACAGAATAGGGCTGGCACCAGACCAGACTGAATACTTCCAAGTATTATTCTTCATTTTTTGCCTTTTTTCTTCTTTTTTTTTCTGGTAACTGGTCTCTTTCTTTCCATGTGGGAGATCACAGTTCTTACACCATATGGAGATGCAGCAGAAGCCAATTTAAACTTGGACTTGTAATGTGTCAATTGTGGAAAAGACTATTGCTTTCATTTTCTTAGTGCTGCTGATGGATCTAGAGTGTTCCTTTAATAGGATTTTTCCAACAGCAGACACTGTCCAGATACCTTTCCATTCCTGCCAGACTTTTTAGAATTTGTTTTTTCTGTATGCTGAATTGTAGTAGAAGAGGCAATACCAAAAGATAAATAATTACAGAGAACAAACCTTTTGCTGCACTTGTTGTCAGAATCTGCTTTGATCAATTTTGCATGAGCATGTGCAGATATATTTGTGCCAATTCTATTTCACTCGAACGTCTGTCTGCAGGCATGGCAGCACTTAAACCCTTTGGTCTATGGCAAGGATGATATTATAAAAAGATTAATGTTGCTTTTAAAAGTTGTTTCAAATTCTTATCTTAAATTTTTTTTCAAAAGTAGGCATATTTCATGTGGCTAATTCATGGCAATTCTACAAGAATACAGACTCGTTCCTTCATTTTTAGCCTCCCCTGCCTTTTTTGTTCTGGCAATCTGCTGCACATAAGGCCATTCCTTCCAGATTACAGAACTTCAGGTATCCTAAACAATAACTAGTCATACTTTCATTGACATTTTTATTCTATGTATTAAGTCTCATAAACAAAACTAAATGTGTTGAAAGAACTGCATCTCATATTGTTTTGATAGCAGCTGTGGCTGTGTCAGTCTGTAAAGCCACTCCTAGGCAGTCTCAATCCACTTGGTCTGCTCACAGCCAAGCAAATTGAGACTCAAGAGTCTCCTTAGTTGCCTTTTTTTTTTTTTTAAGGCAAACTTACAGCAATAATCACAGTGAATGACACTTGTTCCAGTTAAGATTTTTCTCTTCTCTCAAGCTATTGTTCTGTTCGTACTCAAGCATAAAATTATTGAAATTGCATTATGTCAGACCTCAGTAATTCCCTTTCCATATTGCAACCAATGCCAGCATAATTTTCTTTTTCAAATATACACAAATAAAGTCATTAGCCACATCAGCATCAGTATGGATTTTCATTTGAAAATATGAACTTATTTGCCATTTTTTATTTATGCATACTGGTTTATAATGTAAAGTCTGGCACTTGCCTCATTTCACTTTTACCTTCAAAGTAGGAATGTGTTATGTCTCCATACTATCAGTACATTTACCAGTGAATCAAACAATTTCTTTAGTTTGACTTTAGTTTCTAGCAGGTAAGTTGATTCCCAGTGAAAACAGAAGTAAATTTTTATGACTCTGGATCCTCTTTTTATTTATTAGCACTCCACTGGAAAGTCAGATTACCATCTGTAAGCAACTGATCCTGAATAATTTCAATGACTAATCCCCCCAAAACTCACAGACTCAAAGTCATGCTGCTTTAATTAAAAGAATAAAATATTATCTATATATTGATATATCTATTTGCTCTATCAAATTCATATTCCTCTGACCTCTCTCACAGAATTAGAAATCCTGACCTGTCACAGTGTTAGTGACAGATGTGGCCCTTAATTGTTAAAAGACTGTTTCAGCCTCTTCGTGTGTAGGACAACTTTCTAGAATAAGGAGGATTCTTGGAGCATGTTGAAGTATTCTGTAGTCTTTCATTCAGGTTTTTAAGAAGTTGCAATAGAAAAGCAGCTTTTGAATATTACACTGAAAAGGTGAATGCTTTTTCATTTGGATAAGTAACTTCTAGACTCCAGTACAATATAAGTCAGACTCCAGCACAACACAAGTCTTCTGGACAGTTTGTCCATGATAAAGGAAGTTAAAAGGGGCTTAGATGCTCACTCATTCCCAAACAGGACATTTAAAGACATTCAAGTGTAGAAGATCCTACAGAGAATGAAGTTGTTAACAAAGACAGCTGTTGTCCAGAATGGGACATTTTGTAATTGCACATGATGCTTTTGTGAGGAACAGAAAAATGCACTCATCAGAGAGACACAGTCTCTTGACATCTAGACACCAATCTGACTTTTGGGGTCACAGTCACCAGAATTAGGGGCTTTGGTTTTTTTTGATGGCATTGAGGCACACGGCCTTTTTTCAAAATAATACATAGCAAATAAAAAAATAGCTACTGAATAGCTAGAAGTAGCAGTTATGGTACTAGATAACTAATTCAGCACTATACAAATACTTCAGAAAACTGCTGTTATAAAACAAGTGACCTTTTAAGCACCTTTAGCAACTGGCATACAAAGGAATGAATACTTGCACAGAGAAAGCTATGACAAATTTTTTAAGACAAAAAAAAAAAAATTAAACCCAAAATATTACACTCAATAACCAGCAATTACACAGAACAACCTAAGACTAAGTATGGCAACTAAAAAGCTAGGTGACTTTTCGAAGTACCTCTGGAAAAACCCAAGACTGCGGTATTTTTGGTCATTATTGATGTGCAAGAGATGTAGCTTTCAGTATTTACATTATCACAGCTTGGCAAATCAGAACTTAGTTGATGTTAAATTATAACCTGCAAAATGAATGATGTACAACATGTGGTAAGATAATAACAAGAATATACTGGCCAAAATGAAACAAAGACTAACCTTACAAAACTCCAAGTTCAAAAGATTGCTAGAAGTTTTTTTATTTAAAATGTTGATGTTGCCCATTTACCTGAAAGAGCGAGCTCTGTTTTTCTGTACCTGGTGCCTTTTCTATCCAGGAATCCAGTGGTTTCAGCGTATTGGTATTCTGAGTAACAACAGGAAACTTAGCTGCCAAGGTTGGTCTGCTGGTTACATGCAACTGTTGTTCTTGTTGCACTATCTGGAGTTTTTTCAATAACTCTTGAGGTGAAATCACTCCAGAATTGGCTGCTTGATTGCCAGAGAGAGAAAGTGGCTGTCTAGGAAGTTTGGATTGTTCTTTACCAAGTGTCTGAGACTCTAAAGTCTGGCCTGGCAGGGAACCATTGAAATACACCAAAGGTGGCTGGCTCATATTGTTTACCGGTGCTGCTGGTGCTCCAACAGCAGCAGGGGTCCCGCTGAACACAGGAGCTGTCGAGTCCACGGACCCTGTTGCATTGGGGTCCATTTTAGTCACTGACCCTGACTGACCCTGTAATTTCTGTAATAAGCTCTGTGTGCCAGCAGTATCCTGAACTACATGAGATGTTGCAATACCATGAGAAGTCACAGGTTGGAAGAGTCCTGTGAAAGTCTCACCCACAGGGTGGATATTGCCATTTTCACAGAGTCGGTTCTCGGGAAACTCAGCAAGCGGATGAAGGTCTGTCCCACGCACCATAAGCTTCTGAATGGCGGGGCAAAGCTGTTTCTCTGCAGAGGGTGAATGCCTGCTAGGTTCTTCGTAGGACAGTGAACGTACCACACCCTGCCTAACAGGAAGATTTTCTTGATGCTGTTTATTAAGCGGTTCTGAGACATCTGGCTTTTCCTGTTTTCCAAACAGAGCTGTCAAAGACAAGTGCTGTGGTTCAGGATCCACATTCTGTGAGGGGACCAAGGAAAAAAAAAGTAAACATAGTTCCCTTATGCATAAGTTACATTAAGTGGTGACAATATTTAACCAGCAGTATTCAAGGAAAAGCCAAGAAAACTGCTATGCTCTTTTCTCCCAAGAGAATTTTTAATAGTTTTGTCACACAGGAAGGGCAAGAAGACAGTTGTCAAGCTGTTAATGTGGGAGAAAAACAGTGATCTGAGAGATAGCAGTGGCTTCACTTTAAATAAGAGCACCTTCCCCTTTCAGCCATCAGTATAACATTAGTACTAGTAAGAGACAGAATCTCCCCTGGTGTGAAGTAGGGCCACTTCTTGTGCATCTCCCCATCACAGCTGAATTAAGTTTTTAGGATTTTACAGTGTGATTTAGCTTGATGATACATCAAGATACTTTTCTTTATTTAGATTAACTGAATTCACCTAAAGAAAAAGAACACAAAAAATGTGGTCCAGCAGCTGACTAGACTGCTTGCAATCAAAGCAGCATCTGAAAATTGAAAGACTAGTATTTCTTTGTTGCATCAGGATAGTATGCCTGTAATTTACATGCTTCCACGTAACATGGTGGTGGTTGGGGGCTTTTTCTAAAACAGATTAGTTTTTCATTAAAATAATTCCTTATTGTGGTTCCACCTCAAATTCTTGCACTGACATTCTGACTCAAATTAATATTCTTACATGGCTACTTGATTACAGCAGCACTAGGCAGAAAACACACAAAACATTTTACCTTGCTTTGCTGAGATATTCGTGGATGCTGATTTTCACTAGGCTTCACTGGAATTGGTTTGATAAGGTTGGGGTTGTTATAGATTGCAGAAGAACTGGTTATTTGTTTTGGCTCTGAGCAGGTCTTACACTGCAACAGAAAAGAAGTATTTTTTAGTAAGCGGGACAAAATCTTTTCCCATAGTTTTCCACTATAGTAAAATCCAAATGTAGCCAATACTCAATAACCAAAAATATTAGTCACAGCACTGATTATGAAATGTTATGCTATTGAAAGAACTGTAACAACTGCAACCTAATTTTCTAGAACCACAAAGCATATGTAAAAATAAACACTTGATTCCAAGATACCCTGAGTACAAGGCTTCCCTCTAATTTAAATCACAGTTCTCTTTCTTACCTTCTGCTTTTCCAGCACTTTAAAAAACAAAAACAACCAAAAAACCCCCACAAAAAAACCCACACACCTTAGAAACCAAGCAACACACATGCTCTTCCTGCATCAGTAGGCAGACAGAAGTAATTTAGATACATGAAGGATTGATGTGCACATAAAGAACATTTAAAATTAATTTACATAAATATTCCACATTGTGGGAACTTGGAGGATACATATAGCCGCACAGAAAAATAATTAAAGGTTTAATCAATTTGTAGAATCAGTACGTTTTCTTATTAAATATGACAGGATTAATAACAATATTTACAAAAAGATGGGCAGATGATTAGAAGTGATCAGGGACATGGAATGACTGGCATATGAAGAAAGAAGGGCATGATTTAATTCAGAAAAAATACACAGAAAATGCTGCATGAAAGAGAAACAATAAATAGGAAAGGTGAATAAGATGGTCTTACTTACTTTGTACAAAAAGAATATAGTAAATGAAACTAAAAAAGCATTGGGTATACAAGGAATGCTATTGCCTGTAGAAAAGAAAACAGTACATTGGAAGTCACTGTCGCTTGATACAATTGAAACCAAGAAACTGAAAGATTTTTTAGAGTTATCTAACAAAAAATTAACCCTATCTAACAAGAATATTCATAGTTAATTACCTGAATTTGATGGGCTCTAAATTTTATCCCACAGGACTAATGGTTGGGTAAGGAATGATCAGTTTTGGTTTCTCATTCTCTCGTCCAAAGAGCCCCGTATTGTGCATCACTGGGCACAGAACTCTAGACTGGACAGACTGCCATACCAACACACAGCAGAGCCACTGCTGTGCAATTATTAAAATGTCTGTGTCCTTTCCAGAACTTTCCAAAATAAACTCCTTAGGATGTAAGTGTGTTAGGTGAGAAAATAATCCCCCCTCTCAAATACACAAAACTGCTAATTTAATCCATTTCTGAGACCTACTGCAGCAGTTAGCAAAGACACACTGGTTCCAGGGCTTCTCAGTAAAACAGAACTTGAGTTCTTAAGGGCACTCGAGGGGCTCTAGGAGGTACTCAATACCTTCTTTGCAACATTGTCCTCGGGAATCCCAGCCCCCTGAGGCTCGTGGGAACGTCTTGGGTGATGAAGACTTACCTTCGGTAGGGGAGGATCAGGTTAGGCAGCATGTAAGCAAAACGGACATACACAAGTCCATGGGACCAGGCAGGATGCACTCAGAAGAGCTGAGCGAGCTGCCTCCCTCCTTGTGAAACAACTCTATTTTTGAAACGTAATGGCAACTAAGGGAGGTTTGCAAGGACTGGAAGAAAACAAACATCAGTACTATCTTCAAGAAGGGCAAAAAGGAGGATTTGGGGAACTTCAGGCTGGTTTGCCTCACTTTGATCCCTGGGAAGGTGATGAAACAAATGGCTTCCTACTGGAAGCCACTTCTAAACATATTAAGGACAAGAAAGTGATTGGGAGTAGCCAGCATGGACTTAGAAAGGGGAGATCATGCTTGATCAACCCAATAACCTTTTACACTGAGATGACTGGCTCAGTAGATGATGGGAGAGCAATGGAGATCATTTATCTTGCAAAGCTTTTGACACTGTCTCCCATAGCATCCTCAAAGACAAACTGATGAAATGCAGACTAGGTAAACGGACAGTGAAGTGGACAGAAAACTGTCTGATGCGCTGGACTCAAAATACTGTTGGCATGAAGTCCTGCTGGAGGCCAGTCACTAGTGCTGTACCCCAGGGTTTGACACCAGGGTCAATACTCTTTATCAATCACCTTCATTACTGACCTGAATGATGGAGCAGAGCAGGCTTGCAGACAACATAAAACAGGGATGTGTACTTAATAGACCAGATGGTTATGCTGCCATTTAGAGGGACCTTGACAAGCTGGAGTAGGAACTGACAAGCCTGATAGGAACACGAAGTTCAACAAAGGGAGACTGAGGAAGAATAACCCCATGCAGTACAGGTTGGTGCTTACTGACTGAAAAGGAGCTTTGCAGAAATGGACCTGGGTGGACAAGAAGTTGAATATGAACTGGCAACATGCCCTTGTGGCAAAAGAAGGCCAACAGCATCCTGGATTGCATTAGGCAGAGCATGGCCAGCTGATGAAGGGAGGTTCACCCCTACTGAGCACTGGCAAGACCACTGGTTAGAGCCCTCTACTGAGCACTGCAGTGCTATGTCCAGTTCTGGGCTTCCCTGCACAAGAAAGATGCAGACACACACGAGTGAGTTCACTGAGAGTCTATGAAGTTGACTGAGGCACCTGTCAAGCAAGTAGAGGCTTATTGTCCAGAAGAGAAGGCTCAGGATATAATACCAATATGTGTAAATACCTGATGGGAGGAAGTAAAGACCAAGCTAGACTTTTCCCAGTGGTGCCCAGTGAAGACAAGAGGCAGAAGGCAAAACACAGGAATATATAAAATCTTGTTCAAACTTAATAAAAAAACTTTTTTTACTTTTGTTTGAATACTGGAACAGGTAGCTCAGACAGGTTGTGGAGTCTCTGTCCATGGAGATATTTAAAACCTGACTTAACATGGCCCTGAGCAACCCACTTTAGCTGATACTGCTGTAAACAGGGAGGTTGGACTATCTCCAGAGGTCCCTTCCAATTTCAGTGATTTTGTGAGTCTCTTGAAAAATCATCTTGTGAGTGTTTGGACAGTAAAGGACCTTGCAATGCATTTCTGGAGACATGATCTTGCAAGGTAGAAGTGTAGTTCCACTCATATACCTGGCTTTCTTCTATTGTATGACAATTTTTGGTTCAAATATTACTCTAAGAAATAAATTTAAAGCATGCACACACAATCATGCCAGAGGGAGGTTAGCTATTTGGTTTGAAGAACAAGCACCTGTCTCTTTTGGGGTGAAATGATAGCCCACCTCAAGTGCATCTATACCAATGCACGCAGCATGGACACCAAACAGGAGGAGCTGGAAGCCATTGTGCAGCAGGACAGCTATGACTTGGACAGCTATGACTTAGTCACAATCATAGAAACATGGTGGGATGACTCTCATGATTGGACTGCTACGATGGATAGCTATAAGCTCTTCAGAAGGGATAGGCATGGAAAGAGCGGCAGTGGGGTGGCTCTGTATGTTAGTGAGTGTTTTGATTGTATAGAAATCAACGATTGTGAAGACCAAGTCGAGTGCTTACGGGTAAGTATAAGGGGGAAGGCCAACGAGGCAGATACCCTGCTGGGAGTCTGTTATAGACCACCCAACCAGGATGAAGAGACAGATGAAACATTCTATAAGTGACTGGCAGAAGTCTTGCAATTGCTAGCCCTTGTTCTTGTAGGGGACTTCAATCTATCGGACATCTGCTGGAAGTATAACACAGCAGACAGGAAACAGTCTAGGAGGTTCCTGGAGTGTGTGGAGGAGAAATTCCTGACACAGCTGGTGAGTGAGCCCACCAGGGGAGGTGCCTCGCTTGACCTGCTGTTTACAAACAGAGAAGCACTGGTGGGAGATGTGATGGTCGGAAGCCGTCTTGGGCTTTGCGACCATGACATGATAGAATTCTCGATTCTGAGTGAAGTAAGGAGAGGGGTCAGCAAAACTGCT